AGTTTCTAATCATAACTAGCTTAGTTTAGGTCGGAAATTGGCAACACTGAATTAATTAAATGCATCGTTACCACAAACGTTGGTCTCTCAACTATCTATCAATATGATGATACAATTTGTGGGCCAAAATGATGTAACCCTAGGGAAATGTCAACGGGGAAACGGGAACTGTCATGTGATTAATTAATATAATTTGTCTATCATTATCTTGTATTGGTTTGAACGCAGTGTTGTGATATGGTGGAGGTTTTTGTTGTCCTTAACAATTGCTATATTATTTACTAGCTACTCTCGCGCGATTTCACCCGCTGCTCAGCTCCATTTGATCGTAGCGTGATTTTTATAGCACTCAGGAACATTGTAGCTGTCTATCAGTGAAAGAATTTTGTAAAAAAAAAATAATGTAAATCCGACCAGTGGTTCCAAAGATTACCCCCTACATACAAACTTAAAAATTGTACCTCTTTTATAATATTAGTATAGATGTGTCACGAAACTAAACTTCATAAACTAAAAACGAAGAAGCTATTAACTCAATGATTTTCAATTTCAATCGAATGTCAAAACAAAAGAAATAAAATAATGAGCAAATGCCAATAACTTAAAAACTCATAAAAGCGACTAAACAATTTCAATAGATACTGAAAACAAGAAGCATTTTCAAACGAATAATAGAAGATTAGTTCATCAAAGCAAGAGTGACGTCATAAAAGCACTACGAACACAATAAACGCTTGAAAAACAAATCTATGTAAACAAACATTTAAGTGTAGCACTATTCTAGTAGACAGTAGGTGACGCTAAACACTTGTTCCAACGCGTACCCCGCGTTTGTTTATTCATTCACGATGTTTATAAGAACCCCTTGCGGCGGGAAAACAATAAATTGTTTTCACAAACTTGGGTAGCGGCCGAGGGTTGGGTACTTGGGTCTAGCTAGCCGATTTTAGGATTTTATGAAACTGTAATTAAAGGTAAACAGAATCGTTTGGGCTACGGCTTGTAGTGTCACTGTGGATTTAGGTAGAGCAAACACGAAAACGGTACAACGAATTAATCTGTGGTTTAAAAAAAATTCAAATTGAGAAGTCGTAATGTTGGTACATACGTTTAAGTGCACAAGCGAACTAGAGAACCGGATCTCATATTACGAGTACGTTGCTGATGTTAGGAATATGGGATAGCAAAGTAAAACTATTAAAACTTTAATAGTTCGAACTAACATGTTTAGAGCGAACCAACGCCGCAGATTTAATACAGATAATGTGTTGTGCTATTTACATAAAATGTTCAGGTTTATCCTGTGCGTTACGACGGGTAGCTTCGGGTTGGTGCAAACTTTTAAATTGTGTAGCTAACGCTGAGAGGCAGGTCTGTTGAATACATTTACTTTGTAAATATAATGTAAGCTGAAAATCGAACGTAATGTATCTATTGTAAGAAGAATCTTCGTCTTTACCAAGACATTGTGACTTGTAAATGCATATAAATTGTTACAAAGATACATAATTATTAATTGTTGCAGTACAATGAAAACATTAACAACGACAGCCTGCATTACTGAGTTATAAATAAACCTTTAGTTCCTACCTCAGTTCTATCTAGCCTAAGTTGCGTGACTCTAGTTTTAATTCAGAGATTATCTTACCGTTTAGAATTGGTATTTACTTAGCTCAACCAGGTAAAACGAACAGCAAAAGCTGTAAGTTTATTCTATGATTTTGTACCTGGATTATAGTATTAGGACCGCTTAGGAATTAAGCGTTTAGATACTAAATCGGAATGGCCTCTGGATTATTTAATCATGAGCTATTTTTAGGTTCTGTTTGTAAGAACATGTGTACTTAAATACCGTAGGTGGTAGAATATTTTAATAAAACATGGCGAATGATTTATCTACTTACTGTTGATAAGGGACCTGAGTTAAATATAGCTCGGTTGGTTATTACGTGGTGTCTATTAATACCTAATTAATTTGCGGTTGGGTGTAAAGTGAATTTTGTGGTTTTTGTACCAAAAAAAATTATTAAAGATTATAATTGACATGACACTTCATCACTTACATGAAAATAGTTAATCGCTTACTACGAGGTGAGATGGTAGCCAAAAGCCGTCCTATTGAGTATTAAACAGCTTTGTCACATTCATTGTAGACGAATCTTCTTCATATAAGAAAACTAGGCTATAAGATCAATATTTTGGATTGGCGTCATGGCTTCTTTTTGTGAGGGGAAAATCATTAAATGACTTCTCCCGCCCAGGGCCGGAGAGTGTGTCAGACTCTTACTGACTATAAAACCCCGTCTGTGGTGGTCTATTGGCTCTTTGAGGCGCGCGCGGAACGCTACGCGCCGTACGCTCGGGTATGGCTGGTGAGTTACGAGTTTACGGTACGTTAACATTATGGAACATTTTTGTGTTATCCAAAGAACTGAGAAAAATGTGAATTTGTATTTTTCTAAACATGACTACGACACAGAATATATTCCTAATGTTCTAATCACGTTTGTAATGTTAGAAGAATAAGCATTTATGCAGAAACATCTATTTTCAGAACCTAACGTATGGTAGGCATGTGCCTAAATCCTTTCTCTGTTTAGATACATGTCATAAACTATACGTTAAGTTCATTTCTATAAACAAACAAGTATGCGTTTACTCATACATTGATAAATAAAGGTTGTAAATTATGTGTTTTTGTGTTAAGACTGAAGTGACATTCACAAACAAACCATGCTTCACAAGCCAGCTGGCGACAATGATGCAACGCATTTTTGAAATCGATTTAAACCAATCATGGAATATTATATGTATGTAACTTTCATATTTGACTCACGACACAGGAAAAAGTCCAAAAGAGGCAACGTATTTATAAAAATAATAATTTAATGTTTTTATAAATTAGCATAGAATAAAAATAAAATCGTCATTAATAGTCATGTCCATAAAAAAATGGTGTCTGTACAATTTTTAGGTTTTATAAGTCCGATAAAGCTATTTGACAATTGAATAAACGATAAAATGAAAATTGTTATGAGTGCTGAAAGAATTATTGGTAAACAATCTGCTGCTAAAGTTGTAAAACCACGTCAATATTAAGACGGGGAGCAGTTAACTCATAATCGAATTATCAAACACGCTGTATAACAACATTAAAACTTTTTAATTGACTTGGAAGCTTATATTTCGAATACCGTTAATTAATTTCTGGAGGAATCTTGAAGGCTGATTTAGAATGGAATCAATAGATGCTGCGAGAATTTGTAAGAAATTTATCAAACAACAATTATTTATTATGGACCAATTTTTTTTGACATGTCTTCTCTTTTCTCTTATATCCTGGTATACGCTCCTTATAAGTAAGTCAACGTGAAAAACATTTATTTCGATTAGACCCTTTTCAACGTCAAACAAAACTTAAAAGTAAAAAGTGTCCGTCTGTCGGTCAGTCATCTCAGTGAGAGTATTTGCTCGTTCAAAAGTATAGATTCCGATAAATCAATAAAAAAATACTTACACAATCCTTCTAATCCAATACAATTTTCCCCTAAGCACAACTAATTACTGCACTAATATTAGAAGCAAACGCAACAGACATTAATGACATGCGTGATCTGTAAGAAACAGGTTCATTTGCGTTTCCCTATAATTAACTGCTTTTAAATGTCCGGTAAGATCATTGCACTGAACATATCTCAATCAAGGATGAGATAAACAAGGCTTTTCATGTGCCAGCCAGGAAGCTTATAATCTAAGGAGATTACACAAACATGAAATATAAAAGGGAGGTCAGATAAAAACCTTCGTATCAGGAAAGAAAAGGAATCTTTTACGAATTTATAGCGAGGAACACATAATATTTTGTACACGGATAAGCGTGAAATGAGTTTCTCACAAAAGATATTGTATTCTAAACCGAATCCCTTATTGGAGACAGTCCGAATGAGATAAATGAAATGAAACGACGAAAATAGGCGATTCCGTTAAAAATAACAATGAATTTGGAGACAGAGTTCATATTTTTAATTTCGATTGTTATATATCATTTATTACCTGTAGCAATATTTAAAAAAAGGACGGTGTTCGTTGTAAGATTCTTGCTGAAGGAAATAAACGTAAAGAAAATAGCACAGTAATAGGTAAGTAGTATTCTTAATTATAATTATTAATGTTCTAAAGTTTCAGATGTATCTAGATTCCCATGTATTACTTCAATACACTCGTCAAGACTAAGGGCCGTGTTATACCTAGTAATTTGACCGCCATTACTCATAATAACACACAAATCAACATTAACCGCGTTGTCCTTTTATACATACATGTATTTAGAACTAGGACGGGGTTAGCGCAATTATGGACTGTATGCAAATCGCAACTAGCCATCAAATTTGATGAACGGACAGTAAAAGTAGGGGTTATTTAAATAATCGTCCTTTTACTTTTCTAGAAACTTCTTGTAGGGGAAATGACGTCACTGAGATTCCGAAATGATTATTGTCCCGGCATCGTTGCGCATAAGTAATTGTGTCCGAGTCCACTTTTCTTGTTACAAGTTAGTCTGCAGTTATTTCGTAGAACACAAGCTGATTCATTGTGGCAAACGCTTGTTCAAATGTGGGCCATTTCAGTGCACTGTTTGTGAATGTTCATTACTTTCGGCACACACACATGTTGAACAAACCACTACCAGTAAAGAATTCTAAGTATCACCGCTCAAAGGATTTTGAGTGTCGATTGAATGTTATTGTCAAGGAATTCTCAACCTTAGCGAGTTCAGTAATTAAGTTGTGATCATTTTATTACTAGACTTGGTAAAGTCTGAAGTTGCCTTAACTTTGAATAATCTGGTTATGTAGATTATGAGTCAGTTTTGTATCATGACTTAATGGCGGAGATTCTTAACATTAATCTGTGCAAGTTTTGATGTTTAATATCTTCAGTAGTATTAAATTGAAATTACTAGAATGCAATTGGAGATTTTATATCGAGATGTTATTTACCATAATGGGGCTCTTTATCGTGTGGTATGTTCCCGTTGGGCTCGAGCCGGTCGAGGCACTCCTCGGAGTACCCGTTGTAAGGCAACTTCCCTCGGCCGCCACCGTTCTGCTGCCGGCCACGACACTCGCTACTGTCTCCGTCAGGCTCGTCTTTTGTTGCTGCAACAAATAAATACAAATTTAATAAAACGTAAAATTTAAAATATATAACACCATTGATTACTGCAAATTATTTACAATTTGTTGAGAGAGACGGCGTTAAATAAAACCTTAAATTAATTATATCGCGTACACTTACACAACGTATAATGGTATTACTTGCCGACTCTGTTCAAAGCCAAGATCATTACGGGTTGACAAACAGCACTCGGGGTTTCAATTGAGAGTAACTTTGGCAAAGCCCATTTTCGTCAACACAGCAGATGAATTTAATAGCATTGTGATCCTGACAATGAAGCTAACTATGAATACTTCAATGCGACTACGGCTATTAAATGCAGAGAGCTATAATGATGGCGGCCTTACAAAGGTGCTGGATTAATAAGGAACTTTTACAAACTAAATTCCGCAAATAGCTTGTATAAGAGCAATGAGAGAAACGGACAGTAATTTGTCTGCATAGGATCTCGTTAGTGGAAATGGGAGACGGAGAATGGTGCCATCTTGACCTATATCTATGCAAGCGAAAAAGAAAAAATACGTTTTTTTTTTCTTTTATTACACCAAATTAACAAAGAGGACAATATAGCATTTGATACATAAATCAGTAGAGGTGATAAGTTCGTGGCAAATTAATCATATTATTATGATCTGCCAAATTTCCACCGAATAAATTCAATTGTCGTAATATGAACGGGTACATTTTGACAGGTTAATTTACTGAGCAACATCAATGAATGCTCGTACATTTGGCATAATGGGCATTGAGGCGTGATCGCGGCACATTGCATTTGTATCATTCATGTTAAATCTGACTACGTTCTTGATTGGTTGTAATTAAATTTAGGTTTCAGTGAACTGTATAATAACTACACGAGCGGTAAATTATATCGTAACTAGCTACTCTCGCGCGTTTTCACCCGCTGATCAGCTCCATTTGGTCGTAGCGTGATGTTTTAAAGAAGAAGATTGCAGCTATTTATGAGTGAAAGAATTTTGGAAATCCGACCATCGGTTCCACAGATTACCCCCTACATACAAATTAACAAATTTTACCTCTTTATAATATTAGTATAGATAAAAATGTAAAAATGTTTCATAAACTCATACGTAATAAAAGTTAAAACTTAATATCCAAATCCCGAGGTAAATAATGACTTATTTGCATGGTACAAAGTTCCAAGTAACCCTGCAGCATACTGTTTTAAAGACAGGATATGACGTGACAACTGGCGCCAAAGGCCACCAAACTTTAATTAGCTGCACCACGGAACTTAGTCGGCAACTAAGTGTGTCTGCCTTATTATTTTATAGCGCGTAGTTTCAACATAAATTGCCATTAAAACATTTTGTTACAAAGATGAAACTTAACCTTTGTAAAAGAAAAAAGGAACATTTATTACAGAAACGCTAGTTACGTCTACTCTGACGACGGAAAAATTCCACTGAAATGAAGTAGCGCATTATCATACATAAAGAGCTCATTTTCCTGATCAATATGCAGGGCCACAATTACACGTGGAACTCCATTATTACAGGGCCGTACACTCCAGGATTTATTCATGTCAAATTACGCGGACAATTTGCCGTAGCCTCGATTGCAAATTAGTAAATTAAGTTGAGCGCCTCGTGCACATTAATTATGCATTCCCCACAGTTTCGTGCATCTCCAAAACAAGAAGTTGCCATCTGGCGTCTCAAGGCAACGGGGCGGCCATACTTTCTTGACCAAAGATATTATCCATCATTTTGGCGCCAGTAATAACTTTATACATTGTTTTAAGTGATGCCCATATTCAGCTTGAATACTCTTGTGGTTGTAACTTTATACATACGTAAATCCGAAAACATGTGGTCGCAAGTTTCATGTAAAATTTGCTTCGAGATTGCGAACACAATCTGGGAACAACGAGGCTTAACTTTTGTCTCAAACGCTCACAATTCACATGCAGCTGTTTGCTGGGAGAGAGACACAATTTCTATAGCACTATTTTACGTAGACACAAAGTAAGGCGACAACCGGTGCCCCGGGGCGGTCGGGTTTAATTGAGACGCGGTTGTGCATTCCTCTTGCGCAACTCACGTGAAACAATTTTACACACACAATGTATTCTCTTTAGATTCACGTAACGTACATACACTGGCTCAGTTTCGTAAGTCTTAGGAAGATCCGAATGAACGGAAAGTTCCGTGCAGAATAACTCAAGAGATTCAGATTACGTTATTGAAATAGTAACAGCCAAGTGTTCACACGGATAATTCGTGCAAACATTCCATGAATATAGTGTAAATATGCTAACAAAACAATGGGTATTGGTTTTTTCCGGGTTGGATTATCGTGGGATTAGAATCGCGGTCTACAAGCACGTGCGCTTGCGATAAGCTCCGTCTTATATGTGGTGCTGTTGAGAACAATAAGCAGTGCGCATGTTCGTGCCGACCGCGAGGTTTCCGTCGTTCGTCTTGATGCAATTAGATAGGTGAGCTTTGTTTCCGTGTTTCACCTTCCCCTGTTCCGGCAGGGAAACTCTTTATCACAGCCGACGATCAATCACTATTTCCTCGAGCCAGATAAGGCATCGTCTGTGATTTGTCAAATAAGATTGCATTTTCGGAAGGAGAAATGTTAGCTAACTAAATAAATGTGAAGTAATTGCGAATCTGCGGCACTTTGAATTAGAACCAGGGTCGCGTTGACTTTCCCTCTCCTGAATTATTGCTCTCATCATGACAGCCATCTTGCACCAAGTGTCAGTCATGGATGTAATTAAGCGACGATTTGCTCTCGGATCTACCTCGTTGACAAAACGACGACACAGCCGCCGCATTACTGCTACGAGTACGAGAGGGGTAATATGGTGCTTTCTTTTGTAGAATCACATCTTTGTTTTGATGTTAAATATAAACAAAAATTGTTGTAAAGCTACAGGCTCGTAATCTCAACGTGAGTCATAAAATATAATATCGCGATCACGAGCGTAACTCGGAAACTATTCGACTTGAGGTCATAACACATAACTTCGGTGTTTTACTGTCGCATGAAACAAAGGCAGCGTATCGCACGCATAACATACTGTTTGTGAACACTAAATAAACGCAAACCCCACCTGCAAGTTTCTATTAAATCTACATTCTACACTACGAAAATGTTTGCCTAAACCATAGTTAAACTATTATTACTTAGCGTGTATTACAGCAATTTGTAATTTTGTCCTGAAGCCATTACGTACAACGACAAATTTGCAAATTCTGGTGAAAATATACTTGTCTTTTGATGAGTGACAATCTGTTGTAATAAAACGGACGAGCAGCGGCCATTAGACGGTAATATTGCATTTAATATCAAAGATGGTGTCTTATTACGGAAATGTATAGCATGACCGACGAGCTGCGACCTTGCGTACACTGCGGTTTTATAGTTTTAACCGAAAGCATATACATTACATCGATAAAAAAAAGAAACAGATAAAACGTAAAAGAGGTAGCTACCCCAAGACAACACAAAAACGAAAAAAGAAACTGCATTTTTTTTATTAACCCCTTGCTGTGTTAACTACGGAAAAAACATTATTTTATTTCATCACGCTGTGTTAAAAACAATTAAATCAGGTCTCTTTTCAAAGTTGTAACCCTCTATTACTTAAAACATTAACGCTGGAAAGTGCAAACTGGGAAGTTTGTTGGAAACGCTTTCAAGAAAAATAACACTCCGACAATGAGCGAAAGAAAAAATCAAGTTTGTGAAATAAAATTTCTTCTACAGCGTACTTAGGCAAGACGGGGTGCCGCAAGAGATTACATTTTTACTTGGTTTAATATTAAGATGAGTTCCTGCAACATTTTGCGGCGCATATTATTTTCAAAGATCCATTCGTTACCTAGTGGCTGAATTGCATTTGCAAGTAAAAATGTTACTGTTGTAATATTAACCAAACACTATTGCTCATAGACAATTTGCAATATACTTAAGAAAAAAATGAAGAGAAAAATAATAAAACACGCGTTGAAATATTAAATGCATCAACAGATAATGTTATGAAAGAAAATACAAAACACTTCCAAGACGATGATGCTGTAGAAAACTTTATAACGAGTAAATATTTTAAAAAGAAAATTGGAATACTTTGTCGGCAGTTTTTTAGTCATTAGCAAGTTTGCGTCGAAGGAACTAACGAAGAGTTTACGTTAATTAATGAATAACTACGTCTACGTAACAGCCAGTTGTATCACGTTAACGATGAAAAAATTTATGGCGTGTACTTCATAGCATCGAAAAGACTTATAATATTAGCATAAAATTTATTCGTGTCTGGACCAATGATTCGTAAAATTTGAAAAGGGTTAGACACAATGTCATGTCAAAAATTGAGACTCGATTTGGATCTCATTAAAATATGTACATTTACATGCATCATAAAAGTTAATCTGTCGCTCGCTATCATGCTCAATATGATATTAAGATTGAAGTTTTGATATGGCACAGACAGATGACGAATAATAACTTAAGATTAACATATTATCCATTTAAAAGATATTTTCCAGTATTTTATTTAATATCAAATCGAATTAAGATTTTGCATACGATTATGAGCCAGGTATGCAACTATTAATATTGCTAGTTCATCATATAAATAAAATCAAGTTGACATTACGTAAACTAACGTAACCTACAAGTGCATGATTCATAGATTAGATTAATAAACAATAGGCGAATGCAAAACAATTGTATAAATAACACTTGTAACACATACCTAAGTGGTATTCAAAGACGTAGTGAAAAACTTCGAAAATGAAGTATATTGAATAATATACGACAGAGGTAGTCGATACAATGTAACTCTGTTGTAGTTTTCTCAAAATACAACTATCAGCGCCATCTGTCAACAGTTATGTACAACAATGTGTTCTGCTCAATCTGTATATATATAGTCGTTACAATAAAATATAGTTCATTCACTTTTTGCTAGAAGAGAGCACGTAGTTTTATTTCAAACATTATT